CAACGACTGCACTGGTAATAGCCGGTCTGGTGCTCCATTGCGTAGTGTTTTGCCAAACTGGTGGGCATTTTGTATTTCTTTAAACAGTCTCTACAACTCAGCTTGCCGTTATGTACTGTTTTGACGTGGTGGCTAAGAAGAGGTCTAAAAATTGTCATAGAAAATATATGTTATCAGTATTAAACTTTCACAGTAGCTTCTAATCATTTTTTTAATTTCCAAAACCTACTTATTCATAGAAGAGTGCTGGCAGTTTTGATGAAGGCACCGGTACGGTTGATGAATTTTGTGCTTCTTGAGCAGGTGAACTTTTAGCTCCAGTTCACCGGCAACGGGTGACTCGCATTCACCGCAGATCAGTTTCAGCACCTGCACGCCTGGACAAAGACTACTTGGTTTAGTGTGCTTTCCATCGTGCGGCAGTGATTCATTTCGAGAACTGTAGACGGCGCCGCCTTTAGAGCTGGAATGTTTTTCTTGGCGAAAGCCAGAATGAAACATTGGCCTTCGCGAACCGTTGGCAGTTGCAGCATGGTGTGATGATGACGGTAGTGGTGGTGGCCTCTGGGAAAAGGAAGTCTGTGGTTTTGTCGACGGAGTGGCAGTAAAAGTGGACGCTTTTGAATTTGTCACCACCGGCGGGGGGCGAACTTCTTCAATTTTTACTTCAAAATCGAGCGATGGTGAGCGTGACAGTCCATGCGCTGCAGAGGATGGAGACATTGGTGCAGGAGCATCATTGGAGTCAAAAAGCAGCTGAGAGATGTTGGCCAGAGTAGCATTCATGCGGGCACGCTCAATCTCTTCCTGACGTTTGATGTACTCAAAAAACTGCAGTTTACTGATAGTGGGCTCTGTGGCGGAGGGAGACAAGAGAGCGTTTTGAATCAAAACTGAAATGGCAGAGGTCTCAGCAGAGGTGTCAGGAACGACAGATCGAGAAACTGGCGAGAGTTCGATGGACATCTTTGAGTAGTTTTTCAAAGTTTTAAGTTTTGTTTTGTAGAGGCTAGTTGAATAAACAAGATGGCAGGTTGAAAAGCAAAAGGAATCTTTTTTGGTGAATATAAGGTGCTTTTACCACTGAAAAAAAGTAATACGATTTTCGGTCAGACTTTGAGCAAAAATTCTGATTAATAAATGTTCGTTTGATGCAAGTTTAAAGTTTAAGGCGTTTTGAGAGAGTTCAGAAAATGGCGGTGTAGTTTTTAAATCAGGTAAATATGGTGGCGTTTTTGGAAATGTTCTGGTTGGCAAAAGTTTCGGATATGCGAAATGCAGCAGAAAAAGTACAAAAAGTTGTAGTGAAATCAGTCAGTTTAAAAAAGTAAAAATCAGTAAATTGTTAAATTTTTGCAAATAACAAAAATTGTGTCATGAGAATAGAAAGAGAAAGAAGGGAGAAAAAAGTTTCAATTTCTAACTTAATCTGGAGAGCTGAATGTTAAGTAGCTGTTTGCTCAAGCAGACAAGTAAGTGTGATTTGAATACGAGTGGTGGTTGAGCTTTTATGCAAAAACAGCTAGTAGAGACGCCTTGAAGTCAGGTGACAATTTATGTAGTTGCAGCAAGCAAAGTTTTCAAACGGCAATGCAAGCAAACACTGTTGACAGAATGCTGGTGAAAGTCACTGCTGTGAAAACGTTGTGCAAACGTTTCACCCCGTGAAAAAGAAGCAGTTGGCGCTAAAAATAATCTCCATTTCATTAGAGCTTTTTTGAATGTCTTTGAAGGCAAAGGAGAGCTTCTAAATCTGCTTGGCAAGGGAAGGGAAAGGAATCGTAAATCTTTTGGTTGCCTTGAGGCTTTCACAGTCGTCGTTTACTTGATTTTATTACTGATGACCATGAAAAATCAGTAAGGTTAGTTAGGCTCATTTAAATGGATGAAGTTACCTAACATTGTGCGCCCTTTTTATGCTGTTTTTCAGCTCTTCAAAAAAATGATAATTTTTGTGCCTTGTCATGCCAATAAAAATGCAGGTGTATTTGTCAAATAAATTAAGTGTTTTGTCCGAGATGAACTCCAGATTAGGCTGTTTTCTACAATGATGTTTAACAGCTGCTTCGCAAACAAAATTTTAAAATTGAAGGTTACATTATGTTATATCTAATCTCTAAAAATCTTTAAAACACTGTTTTAAAATTGATATCAATATAAAGTTGAAGAGGTGTTTGGATTGAGTAAGTATCTTAAAGTTGTTGAAGGGTCAAACGATGATAACAGTGGAGTTTTTTTTCAAACTCTAGCCCAAACCATATTATCATAAATAATAAATAATAGTTTATTATAAAATAACAATGTTTAATAAAATTCACAGTTTAAATCATAAAAAGGACAACTTAGATTAACTTGATCAACTAAGCACAGCATTCATCAAAGGGCATGCTGATCTCAACATGTGTTTTTCCCTCTGTTTCTTTTCTGCGCTAAAATAAAGCTCCAAACTGTCGTTCTTTTTATACTAAAGTTGGCTCCTTGTTCAGAAGAGACAAAAATCATTAACTTGCAACGTAGCTGCAATTATATCTCCGGGTATAATAAGTATGCATTAAATAAAAAGTGTTGCCACCTGCTTTAAAAAAGTCTTGGTTTATTTCGAAAAGCTTTAACATGCTTCCTGGTTAAAAGTAGAACAGAAAAAATTGTTTTCACCTTTTACTTTTGCCGAAATATGGCTTGACCTAATTTGTTTATAGTCATTATGGTCACTTCAACCATTCATTTAGATCTCACTAGCCCATTAAGGCGAGAGTGAGTCGAATTTTCTATTTTATTGGCTTTCGTATAATTCCTATAGAGATTTTCAGTTTTCTTTAAAATCTTACAACTCAATTTCTAGGGTACTTAAAATTTAGGTTGAAGTCTCAAATTAAAGAGTTGGTCCATAGTCCTATTGTGGCTTTTAATTTTATTTGCTTTAGTTTAGTTTTTATGAGCGTTTGAAGTTTGTAAAACTGCTATTTTGTGATTTTTCCAACTTCAATTATTCATAAAAACTAAACAAAAGCAAATAAAATTAAAAACCCCAATGGGATTGTAGACCAGCTCTTTAACTTTAGTTTGAGACTTCAACCTCAATTTTAGGTACTCTAGAAGTTGAGTTATAAGATTTTAAAAACAACTGAAAATTTCTATAAGAATTATACGAGAGCTAATAAAATAGAAAATTCGACTCACTCTCGCCTTAAAACATACTCACGTTTTTTTTCTATGTGCCTTTTTTCACAGTACTTGCAAAGTTAAGCAAGCCATTCTTTAAGGTGCATTAATTATCCTCTCCTTACATGCTAAACAGTTTACTTGGGTCAATCTAATATTTTACTTCCGCATCCAATTTTTTTTCAACACCTTTTTGCTAGACGACAAATAAACTGATTTAGAGGCAGTATACTTTTACTGCCACCAATCACTATGCATGTACACATACCTAAACATTTTTCTATTGAGAAACAATGCACAAATTCGTTCTTTCGTCCACTGAACAGGCAAATCTCATAAACCTCGTAAACATTCTTCTCTAGAATCTCAAGCACTCAAGACTTCCAGTTTTCCAAACACGTTCTCCAACAACAAACTCAACTGCAGATTACTCCCGACGGCAACTCGGTTTTTAGGACTTAGTTGCCGCTCTTTCGCTTGTTGCTCTTTCTTTTCACTTTTTGTTATTTCTTTTATTTTTTTATTCAATAAAAACTGTCCAGGTCACAAGCCAACATCTTGTTTTTTTCAGTTAGTGATCAGTTGACTTGGCTGAACCATTACAATATAGTTTTATTTGCATTTTGCATAATTTTGTAGTGGCAAGATTTTAGTCGACCAGTAAATGTGAAATGGCGTAAGAAAGGGAAAAACCCTTTTGTGCATCGCAGCAATCTCTTTTCATGATCTTTATGATGTTTACGAATGTTAACTGTTCTGTGGAAGAATAAATTAGACTGTGCACGTACACTGTTTGTGGTAGCAGTAGTAGTGCGCTTTCTCTTGGTCACTACTGTTTTCAGCAGAACTATCGTGAGTTGGCTAGTGGATGTGGCAAAAGTGCAGTTAACATTTGCAATCTATTTAGCTAATCAAGGGTATTCAGTAGTTAAGCACCGTTGCAACCTAGACCCAAAATGTAAAGGAATTTTTCGTAGATTTCCTAGCTAATCGACCGAGCTTTACTGTGTATCGTTCTTTGGCCGTTTATCAATAGCCGTCACAGCTGTAGAGGATCGTCTTTTTGTGGTTAACTAGAGCTCAACCGGTGTCTGTTTGCCTACCGTTTTTGTTTTGAAAACATCAGAAGTTGTGGGTACAAGAGAGAAAGTGCTTTTAATTACCAGCATCATTTTTTGCGGCACAGTGTATCTCTAGTTACACGAGGGAAAGCACTGGCAGTCAGACAGAGGAGGCTTTGCATAAGCACTGGTAACACTAGGAGAGAGAGAACGGTAGCCATCCATTTTGGTTGTGCACATCCCAATCATTCGCTGGTGAATCATCGATGGGGCTGCTTTTCACAGCCAACGGTACCACTGCCTGTTGCGAATGCTTTCTCCAATCCTGATGATGTCACTTTATCTGCATTCCATGGGCACTCTTCGGTTGCTATCCTGTGGAGCTCAAATCACCGAGCTACCAGTTCTGCGCACTGAGCACCATCCAACTGCCGCACCCTTGCAGCAGCAAAAATCTCTTGACACAGCCGAGGCAGGGAACAGAAGAAGAAGATAACTGACCCTTGGCTCCCCAGAGAGATAGCCTGCAACGTTTTTCTCCCTGTCCTCTCAGCCATTTATGTGTGTCCAGTTTAGTTTGTTTGACCTGTGAGATTGGACTGGACTTGAGAAAGTACTTCAGTTCAGTTGTGCTACTGACTCAGCTTATCTCAACATTAGTCTATTTGCGTATTGGTGGTTTTCATCTTTCGAGTCGTACAAATTGGGTTTCAATCGCACACCGGCCACCATTTTTAACTATCGTAAAAAAAAGTGTGACTGACCAATTTGGCAAAAATGTCTTCGGTAAGTATCAGCATCTCAGCTTACAAATGCGCTATTGAACTGCTACTCTAAACTGTTATTTTTTGTTGTTCACGTACAAGAATGAACTAGAGCAAGATTACGAGCAGTTGAAACAACATCACTTAAAGAAGAAAACACTTTTCAAAGATAAAGATTTTCCTAACAATGACTACTTCATTTACGACCTTGGCGTATCACCAAGGGACTTAAAGTGGAAGCGTCCAGGAAACATTGTCAAAAAGCCAAAGTTTTTTAGCGATGGAGCACAGCGGTTTGACGTGCAGCAAGGCGAGATTGGAGATTGCTGGCTGCTGGCAGGTAATTTCACTTTACATTTCATGTTACATTAATAATTGACACCTTTTACTCATCCAAAAACAGCTGTCGCAAACTTGACTCTTCACAAGGAGTACCTGGAGCACGTCGTGCCTAGTGGCCAAAGCTTTGAGAAAGGCGACTATGCAGGTATACTCCTTGCAGTTTTTTATTACTTTATTTAACACTGACTAACTTTGCTTGTTTTGTTACAAGGCATCTTCCATTTTCGTTTTTGGCAGTACGGCAAGTGGGTCGACGTGGTCATCGATGATCGTCTTCCCACTGCAAAGGGCCAACTGGTGTTGATGCACTCAGCGGAGAACAATGAATTCTGGTCGGCGCTGCTGGAGAAGGCCTACGCCAAACTGCACGGCAGCTACAAAGCTCTGGTTGGAGGTCACACAGCAGAAGCCATGGAAGATTTCACAGGCGGCCTTTCAGAGCACTATCTAGTTCAGGGGGAAAGCTGTCCAGCAAACCTGTTCAGCATTCTGCAAACTGCCTACCATCGTGGCTCTTTTATTGGATGCGCAATTAACGCCAAAGCAACTTACCAGCAACGAGTTGCTTTGCAATTGAAAGGCCTTTTTGATCAACACGCCTACTCGATTACTTCAGTGAAACAGGTGGTGCAGATCAACCGTTCAGAAGAGCAGCAGGACTTTGAGGACACCATAAAGCTAATTCGAATTCGCAATCCATGGGGCAATGAAAAAGAGTGGAATGGTCCTTGGAGTGACAGGTAAGATTTAAGATTTTCCTCCTTTTCAAATGGTCTAAACTAACAGTACTGTTTAATTTTAGATCAGCTGAATGGGCCAGTGTGAGCTCGGCAGACAAAAAGCGGCTTGGCCTTTCAATTGCTTCTGATGGGGAATTCTGGATGTCATTTGAAGATTTTAAACGGTATTTTGACGACGTTGAGGTCACCAACTTGTCACCTGACCAACTGGAGGATAAAATCAGCACTCGACGATGGGAGGAAAAGTGTTTTGAAGGTCAGTGGGTTTCCGGTGTGAGCGCTGGTGGTAGCCGCAAGTTTCGCGACACCTTCTTCATAAATCCGCAGTACATTGTCACGTTGAATGACCCGGATGAAGACGACGACGACGACCTGTGCACCTTTGTTGTGTCAGTAATGCAGGAGTATACCCGTAAAAAAGGCCTCGAAAACTTGAAAATTGGGTTTTCCATCTACAAGGTGAAAGAGTCACTTGCAGTTAGGTTAGTTATGTGAAAATTGCTTGTCAACATAACTAAAATTTGTTTTTTTTCTTTACACAAGCCAATCAAAGCCTGGCGCTCAAATTTTTGATGCCAAGTTTTTCCGAAAAAACAATCTAGTGGCCGAATCAGAGCAGGTTTATCGTCGTGGAATCTGTGAGCGCTTTCGTTTGAAGCCGGGTAAGCAAAATCAGTAACATTTGAAAACAGTTCACTTGATTTAATTACTTTTTTGTGCTAACAAACAGGTCGCTACTGCATTGTACCTTCCACTTATGAGCCTCATCAAGAAAGAGAATTCATGATTAGATGCTTCACTGAAAAGGCAGTCAAAAGCACGCGCAAGAACGGCAATTCGCTCATTTCAATGACGAGCAACATNAACTAAAATTTGTTTTTTTTCTTTACACAAGCCAATCAAAGCCTGGCGCTCAAATTTTTGATGCCAAGTTTTTCCGAAAAAACAATCTAGTGGCCGAATCAGAGCAGGTTTATCGTCGTGGAATCTGTGAGCGCTTTCGTTTGAAGCCGGGTAAGAAAATCAGTGTCATTTGAAAACAGCTCACTTGATTTAATTACTTTTTTGTGCTGATCAACAGGTCGCTACTGCATTGTACCTTCCACTTATGAGCCTCATCAAGAAAGAGAATTCATGATTAGATGCTTCACTGAGAAGGCAGTCAAGAGAACGCGCAAGAACGGCAATTCGCTCATTTCAATGACGAGCAACACGAAAAATCTCTCTTTGTACGACAGCATTGACTTGGCCGACGACAAGGAGATGAAGGAAAGTTCAGTGGAAGACGTCACTCTTTTGGGCAAAAATTCTCATTTTTGGGATCATTTTATTTGGTCAAAGGTGGAAAAGGACGACGGCGAATACAAGTTTGTGCGAGGCGAGCTTAAGGCCACCCGGGCTAAGGCTAATCAGTGCCAGTACTGCAAACTGTGGTTCACGTCGACTTACTTCTTCAACCACTTCAAGCACTGCGTCTTTGACACTAACCGAGCTGCTGAGTTTGCTCGAGCCAAAATGCGATGGAGTCAGTTTGGAGAGAGCGTCACCGAAGATATGCACTTTTTCTTTGCCACTCATCCTGATCCTGTAAAAGGCAGTCTTTATCGATGTTTGGCACCGATGTGCGGTACTTGGGCAAAGGATCTGCAGACTATGAAGGAGCACATTTGGATGGCGCACACCAATGAGAAACCGTACCGGTGCACTGAGTGTGCTAGTGTTGGCAAGATCTACAAGTACAATAAGTGGGCAAATCTTGATTTGCACATCAAATCGCTTCACATGCCAAATGAAGCCTAATTCAGCAGCACCTAAAATCACAAGTAAGCATGTGAATTACTTTTTTGAAATTACAACTAAAATGTTTTCTAACTTTAGTGGTGCACCTCAACAGATATTCTTAACCTCAATTATTCTTTGTTTCCTTTTATCTAATATTTACTATCTTTGCAATTTTGCTATACATTTTGTGAACAATAAATAAACATATGTGCTCCAAACTGAAGGTTGTTTTAATTTACTCTCTAATGAAAGTTGATTTGAACTTTAGTTTTTCAGAAAATGAATGCTAACAAGCTTTTATTCAATTTACTTGTTTTTGTGCATTGAAAACAACAAACAAAAAAATAAAAAACGTACTTTTGTTATTTTGAGATTGCTTTTCATATATGAAAGCTTGTTTCACTAATGTCCACTCTTAAGCTAGGATCCTGGTGCCACATTCGCGGTTTTGCCGAACCGATTCGCTATCTCCTTCTTTACTGTGATGTTCCTTTTGAAGACTATCGTTTTACTTTTGGCAACACCGGCCCGACTGATTTACGGAAAAAGTTTCTTCTAAAACGATTTCAATTCAACTTTGACTTTCCCAGTTTTCCATTTCTCATTGACGGGCAATGCAAGATTACTAAGGTAATGCTCAGCCTTGTTGTTGTTTTGTTTATAAATAAAATTGATTCATTTTGTTTTTGCAGAGCACAACCATTTTAAAATACCTTGCCCGAAAGTACGGTCTAAATTCGGCAAGCACTGAAGAGGAGGCAGTTGAAGAGATGCTCGAAGGAGTGATCACTGATGTGCGCTATCACTTTGTTGCCACCATTTACTTTCAAAATTTCTCCAGTAAAGAGGAGCTTGAGCACAAACTCAACTCTTACTTTTTCAACTTTTTAACAAACTTTGAAAAATGGATCAGCGAGAAGAAGTGGTTACTCAGTCAACAAAAACCTTCTTATGTGGACTTTATGGCTTACGAAGTGCTTGACTGGTATCGAATCTTTCTGCACCGGAAAAACGTCTTTGCCGCATTTCCCCAAATGTCCGCCTACATGAGCCGCTTTGAGGCGTTGCCTCGTCTGCAGGCGTACCTGTTGTCAGACACCCACATGGACGCCTACTGTGTCAGTCCCTTTGTAGCTAAAACGGAAATCAGACATCGATTGAAAAAGTCATTTGAAGTGAAAGAGGAGGAGTAGAACACTATTCAGCACAATCAGTCATTTATTTTCAGAAGAAATAAAAACGAATATTTTGACAGACCAATCAGACAATAAATCATCAAATCAGCAAATCGTTTTCAGTGTGTGTGTTGTGTTATTCAATCATCAAATGTCTGCTGTTGTTGTTGCCATCGTTTGTCGTCAAAATAATGATAGCGGAAAAATAAATTAAATTATCAACTGAAAAATGTTAAATGGCAGTAGTGGTGGTGGCAAATTTTGTGTCAAGCCATATTTGTCTTCAGTTGAGACAGTTTTCACAACATCGTATTTGCGTGGGTCGTCACAAACGGAAAAGAGAAAAAAAGAAAAGAAATGTTTTTTTAGTTAGCTTAGCTTAGCTACGGCGGTCGATGCCCGCTGTGAGAGAGATCACCTTTTGATCTGATCTCCTTTTGGAGACGTGACTCATTCGCTGAGATGAGAGAGAG